TAGGGAGACGTAGTGTGGACAGGTACTGGTCCGTGCATTGTAGAAGCTCCCCTATAGGGAGACGTAGTGTGGACAGGTACTGGTCTGTGCATTGTAGAAGCTCCCCTAGGGAGACGTAGTGTGGACAGGTACTGGTCCGTGCATTGTAGAAGCTCCCCTATAGGGAGACGTAGTGTGGACAGGTACTGGTCCGTGCATTGTAGAAGCTCCCCTATAGGGAGACGTAGTGTGGACAGGTACTAGTCCGTGCATTGTAGAAGCTCCCCCAGGGAGACGTAGTGTGGACAGGTACTGGTCCGTGCATTGTAGAAGCTCCCCCAGGGAGACGTAGTGTGGACAGGTACTGGTCCGTGCATTGTAGAAGCTCCCCCAGGGAGACGTAGTGTGGACAGGTACTAGTCCGTGCATTGTAGAAGCTCCCCCAGGGAGACGTAGTGTGGACAGGTACTAGTCCGTGCATTGTAGAAGCTCCCCCAGGGAGACGTAGTATGGACAGGTACTGGTCCGTGCATTGTAGAAGCTCCCCCAGGGAGACGTAGTGTGGACAGGTACTGGTGCGTGCATTGTAGAAGCTCCCCTAGGGAGACGTAGTGTGGACAGGTACTGGTCCGTGCATTGTAGAAGCTCCCCTATAGGGAGACGTAGTGTGGACAGGTACTGGTGCGTGCATTAAAGTCTCCAAAAATATATATCATGTTCAGTTTTGAACTTCGAAATATCATTTTCTATATACGTGAAACAATCTATTTTAAAATGGCGAGATCCATTTGGGGGAACATGTATCATATAAAGCATAAGGTCTTTATGCTGTTTACATGTTACACAATATTCACTGCCTCTGTGTATGTTTCTATGGGGTATATGTTCCCGAAATGCAACTAGAATTCATCCAGATCGATTAATTCAGTTTGGGATCCAGGAAAATTGTGAATTTTGTACCCAGGAATATCAACCGAGTCAAGGCAGACGATTACATTATAATTGGTAATGAATTTTAAGTCAGGTGATAAAGGTCTAGTACATATAAATACATATGTCGGGTGTCACTTGACCACCCAGGATGTTGTTTGTTTATGACCTTGTCAATTCTGTTTACATTGTCGTATTGAGAGAGTTGCAGGTCAAGGTGACCTCGTTGACAGTACTATGACATCATGTCTCTATTCAGGTCACTCTGATCAGCATATACTTTCTCATTACTTACAAACAGTTTGTCTCTCACCAATTTTGCATTATCACCTCTCAAGATAAACACAATTGTATGGAAAACAATTCCTTTAATACTGTGAAAAGCGACAATAATAATCACTTATCCTGTATATTGGCATCATGTCCCTATTGGCTTCCACCTATGTGTTCTCTGTCCATCGTGCTGTGACAGCATTATCCCTTTGTTGTCACACCTACCAATGTTATCCCACTCATGTATGCAATTGTTGTTACTGTTAATCCTCTACTGATAATCCTCCACCTGCTATATACATTCTGTACTATGTCCCTCATTCAGTCTTGCTTGACAACGGTATAAGGATCTATACCGAAACGTCGCTTTTCACAGTATTAAAGAAGTTATTATCCATAAAGTTGTGTCTATCTTGTCATCCGTCAACTTCTAAGTAATGCCTATCAAACAAATTATCACCTCTGTTTCTTGTTTCAAGCTGTTCATTCACTCCATACTGGGTCCCCCTCAACTGAACGGTTTGTTTGTAGTGGGTGAAGCGCGCCACAATGGGCACGTTTTTGGTCCCGATGGGATCCCGAGGGTGCCCTGCCAAACATTTTCTTCCATTTCAAGAGTTTTCTTTATGAATGTTGTTTATTTTTTCTGTCTTTTCTTCTCTGTCTTCTGTTATCCCGATGAATATCAGATGATTCTTAATTTGCCTCCACTCTAGGTATGTCATGTATTCTCTTACCCGGGGTAGATCAATAGATGGGCAGCCAATACGCTCTATATCCTTCTTAATCCACTTTTAAAGTAATACACTTCTAGTGTGTGATGCTTGTTCAATGTTTCAGTGGCTGAGCGAATTATGGCTTGCTTCTCAGCAATGTCATCATAAACGTCTAAGATCTGCATCACTTCGGGCTTTCCTCCCTCGTTAAGCTGACACGCCGTGATATACCTGCAGTACTGTTCAAAGCAGCGTTAAATTGATACGCATGAGTGGTTTATATTTGACTGACAGGAGGCTGATAAAACGCGGTACAACCATACTGTCCAACATCCAGGAGCCAAACACAACGCATACACACAAATACACGCGCACAGACACGCATGCACACGTGCGCGTGGACAACATCTCTGAATATGCGACTTGACTTGTATCTAACAACGTGGCGCTGGGAATTTTAACCCTTTTATTTGCAACCAGTGCATCTACCAACATTCACGTGGAATAGTCTAGTGGGAGGTGCGTTCCCTCTTCCCACTAAGGACTTTGTTCGATTCCCCTACGGGTACAACGTATGAAGCTAATTCTTCTATCTGGGTGGTCTAGTGGATAGAGCGACTGCTCGGTGTGTGTTTGGTCAGTGGTTCGACCCCCGGCTACGTCATACCAAAAGTCGCTGGGAATTGTTGTTACCCTACCTGGCGATCGGTGATAAATGAAGGACTTGTCGGCTCGGAGTATACTACGTTTGAACCGACATTAGTCCGGACTAGTACAATCAGACAAACACGCATACATAGACGCACACGCACGCAGCTATAAAAGTACAACAATCTTGTAACAAATGTTATATTTGGGATAACACTTCCTTAGGAAAGTACAAATTCTAGTTTTTGGGGTTGATTACAATCCGGGATTTGAACCACTACTCTGAGTGAGGCACTAATCGCCAGCACACAAATTCAGCGATCCAACCCACTCAGCTACGGAGGCTTCCATAAAAATGAAAGTCCTACAACTGGTAGTCTAGATCACGTACTTTGTGTACCCCTCTGGTAAGTGTAAATTGGCACGGCTGACTTTGTGTGCTGGCCATTCCCATGCTGTGGGTATCACTAAAGCGGTCAACACCTAAGGTCTGCCTCACTGTGGCTTTTCTCCCAACTTTACCTGGTACATGACTGAAATATTCAAAGCGGGATAAAAAAAATCCCCCACTCACACACTCACCCGTACACAGGACGTGACAGCAAACCAAACAGTCCGTCTCTTTATTAACTGTTAAGACCCGTGAAGATCCGGCGTAGGATAGGTCTTCAGCAACCCATGCTTGCCGTAAATGGCGACTAGGCTTGCCGTTAGAGGCGACTGACGGGATCGGGTGGTCAGGCTCGCTGACTTGGTTGATGCATGTCATCGTATCCCAACTGCGTGGATCGATGCTCATGATGTCAATCACTGGATTGTCTTGTCCGGATTTTTAACAGACCGCCGTCATACAGCTGGAATATTGCTGAGTGCGGCGTTAAACAACAAACAAATATTAACTATATTATAAAGCATATAATATAAGATGATAAGGCATTACACTGGCATATATACGGGTTGCTCTTGTGGTAATCAACCTATCACTGTCACAATCGGGTGAAGTTAAGCAACGTTGGTGGCGGAGAGTAGCTGGATGGGTGACCATGTTCAGCAGCTTGACTCCAGAGAGTTTGTCGGGCTTCAGTCCTTCCCCACATTGAATCACCAGTAACACATGTGTTGGCAAGTAACTTTGTTCGTGATATGCCTCTGTTTACCCAGCTGTGAATGGTACCCGGTAGGGCGAGATGGTAATTCAGCCTACTCACGCCCCACAGGCAACTTATGTTGTATACTCCCCAGGGAGCTGAGAATGAAAATGGAGCGCAAACTGATCCATTATCCAGGATAATAATTATAATGTAGCGTCATGAGGATTCACTTGGTGATTGGAATTTGGCGCATTACAAATGGATTTGTTATCATTTGCAGGTTCCCCCGCCCGACTGCAGTGGGAAGGGCGGGGGATGTATACATAGTCATTGAGAAGCCTTCACTGAGTTATCACCTAGTCTATATCCCACCCAACAATGTTACACACACAGGCTATTTAAACAAAGCAATACTCACCCAATCTGCATAGTGATGGGAGCATAATCGCCTGATCAAGTGTTATTCATGGCAATGGCACTGTTTGAAGAATCACTTTAACTATCAAAAACAGTGCTATGAACCAGTGCCTTAAACACCTGGGGTTTATCTCGTACGTCTGTGCGTGGACAGTGTTTCCGATGCTTGTATACGCCCGTTGGTGACGGCTTGCATTGTAGCTCTTCCTGAAGTTTCTTTTGTGCCGTTCAGTTTTTGTGATGTGGTATTTTACCCTTGTTTATGAACAGGCAGATATGGCAGGCCTCCAGAGCCACATTCAGAGAAAATTTGTAAATGAAATTCATTTTTTTATTCACTGGAATTTTTATGATGATTTGCGTTTCAATCTTTTTAATGCAGCATATGAAAAAATAATCCTTGGTTTTATAACATTAATGGTGAGGATACATTTGTATATATAATGAACGAATTAAGATACAAAGCCTTTTAGCCTCAACACTTTTTAAAAATGTTGAGACAAATGCTTTATTTTTTACAACCAAGTATTGATTTATTTTTATTTTGTTGTTGTATAATTTGATTTTAGTGTTTCATAGGTCAATTTGTGGCTCGACGCACTGTATTTTATATGTATATATCATGTATATTTTACAAGCTTGTGTGACACTTAAATAAATAATTTCTTACTACTACTACTACTACTACTACTACTACTACTACTACTACTACTACTACTACCACTACTACTACTACTACTACTACTACTACTGCTACTACTACCACTACCACTACTACTACTACTACTATTTATCATGTCAGAACAGTAAAGGACGTGATTCCACAAAGACACATTCCGTTAGCATGATCAGTAACGCATGATCAGCAATGCACGACCAAATACCTCTCATATCGATGTTCTCCAAAAGTGTCCGCAGTGAACTATAACAGCGACAGGGCCACTGTTTTCAATGACCCGTGCTTCAGTGAGGAGCGTTCAGCTAGTCCCACAATTAACTCCACCCTGAAAGCAGCCGACGTCACACAGAGAACTACCCCGGGTGCAATAGATTTGATACCCCTGGTTAGAGCCAGTGACGGCTTGTGAATCACCCTGGAGATGTCAACACAGCTGGGCTGACCTACCCCTCCCCCGAGGGCCCTTCCCTCCACGTGACCCGGGTACGTGTGTACGAGACATGCGGTGGTACGGGTACTAGTGTTGATATTGTTTACTAGCTGCACCACGGAGTTGGGCGAGTGTCACGTAGGATATAGCGCTTGATGTAGGAATTTATACGCCATCGTTTGTGAATTACAAATACAAGGTAAACTATACTTTGCTCTTTTCGGTTTGTGTCTTAAGCCATTGTGTCATTGTGGTATAATGTGTTTGTGTGTATAGATGTGTTAGTTGTGTCTATCAGATTCATTCTCCTGTAGCAAAGGTTCGTTTTATTGCCTTTATTCTACACACTTTGATCGATTATTGGTTATCGACTATCGATCTATACATGCAACACATTCAAGCTTTGCGTCTTCAGTTAACACATCAGTAATCAGGACGGAGTCTGTATATGTTGTGTACATGGTTTACTCGTGAAATGCTTCCATAAATTCAACAGTATTTGTTTGGACATTATGTTACGCAATCTGTTAAAATGAAACACACATCGTCATAATAAATGTAGGTCTGCATGAACATAACTATAAACGTGAACGTCGAATGCTCGTGATATTTAGTTAATTATCAGAAATGACGTAAGATTTTATACAGATAATTTTGTAATATGTAATTATGTAATGCCGTGACTAATTCCACATTAATCACAACACAAACATGCGACGGTTTATTTTGGACGCACCTTGGAAACACGATCAGTTAAACAAACACAGGTTCATGCTAGCTGACAGTCCCAACAAATGTGATTCAGCTCATTCAAAGTCTATTTGTTCATCCAATGATATGGGAGTGAATGAGTGAGTGGTGTTTTCGGCCCTTTTTAGCAATAATACAGCCATATATTATGAAATAACTTTCTAATATCTTGATCCGATTCCGGGTCTTCGGCGTTGTAAGCCAGCGTTTTAACCACATTGCTACTCCCCTTCGCGTTATAGATGTGTCTATCAGACAGCAATACCTCAAGTTCATAGATAGTTTCTTCTTTTGACACATTGTACTGATCACAAAGTGTAGACGTTATACAAAACGCACTAAATTATTGTTATATACTTTATTATTACAATTAAAGAATCTAGCTATCTGATTGGTCAGTGCTGTCTTGTAATACCCATACAGGTCGGCTGTCTGCTCTGAACTGACATCATAAGGTTTGAAGTGACGTCACTTGTCACGTCATAATTTATCCTGTTCGCGCTTGGAGTTATCAAAACGAAAGTCCAATGGAGGTCACAATATAGGTCTAATAGTCACACACAAATGTATCACAGAGAATATGTTTTTGTAAACTTGGGTCTCGTAACGTTAAATTCGTCACCAGTCACTTATCTCTCTTGCACAGCCGGCAATCTTCGGTCTGACGGTAACCAGGCTCATGTGCCTCCTAAACCCCGTACTGCCCGCTAGTGACACATTAACTCACAGAACACAATATACCTGTACAGAACCCTGATCACACATGACCTTGCTATACTGTCAACATTTGTACATACCTCGAGTCCTATTGTACTTCAGTAGGTAATAAAGAAGCATACAGAAGTCAAGGCTACCCGTGTGTATCGGCAATGCTCCCCTTCTTGTTAGTCTTATTATAACCAGAAAGAATTTCTAATCTTATCTGGTGCGGACCGCCTCCGTGGTCTAGTGGTAGAGCGTCCGCCCGGAGAGCGGAATGTCCGGGGTTCGATCCCAGGCCGGTCATACCAAAAGACGTTAAAAATGGAACTTGTTGTTACCCTGTCTGGCGCTCGGCATTAAGGAGGTAAAATAAGGACTGGTCGGCTTGGAGTCAGTATACTGTGTCTGAGTGGGGTATTCATGTTAAACTGCGACATGGTACCTCAGTGAGCTAGAACTATAAATCGGCATTAGTCCGGACTAGTACAAGCAGCCACAGACACACACACGTGCATGCACGTCGCTATATAAGTGCAATAATCTTGGACGCGACATTAAACCCCATTTCACCTCACCTCACCTCTTATCTGGTTAAACAATATCAAACCAATACGAATCTTGACCATAAACGTAGATCACTCTCAAGACGTTATAAGCACTAACGTCAACATAAGTAGGCGTCATAATTTATTTCACTTGTGTATTGGGGTCACGCCCAAGTAAAACTCTGGTCAACACTACCACGTTATACACACGTTTTCTCTCGATCTATAGCCAACGTACACTACCGGGCGAAAGATGTATGCACCAATGTTTGGTGGTGGAGGCTAAAAGTGAAACAAACAAGAAATGGTTATTCGGTGGTGATGTTGTCAAAGCGACCGGGTTGGGACAACCTTTGTCTGAATACAAATGTAAAGGCAAAGGATAATTATAAAATGTCGAGGATCACTTAACCGTTGCTTTAAGATGCTGATACCCATTGGTCGTCCCGGTTCTGTTGTACTTGCTTTGCCATCCTGAACGAGTTGTGACATTATGTCACTGATTAATTGTTGTGGTTTCTATTTATGACTTAGTCCGTGTCAGGTGACCTTGGAAAAATAAGCCTTTGTCCAGAGATGAAAATAGAGGATTGTCTCACCCTTAGTCCAGCTGGGGTTAGGTTAGGTGCTCCGGGGCACCAACACAGCAACCACAACCACTAGGTGCTCCGGGGCACCAACACAGCAACCACAACCACTCTGTGCTGACCTTGGCACATAGCGCTTCTTGTATATATCGACCTACATAAAACAAACATGCATACATACACCACAAGCCATCGCCTCCATTTAGTCACTTCCTACGGAGAACAAATATATGCGAATAATCTTATCAACGTCACGAAGTTAATGTACTTGATACGGGTATCATAGCTTTTGCAGTGTTTTTGGTCAAATCCCATCTTAAGTCTCTAATTTCTTTGGCTGGCAGTTTATACCAGTCAATGTAAAGTGATTGCATGTTGTTGGAAGTTATGTCAAGGCGGCCTGTAGAACGTGGATCTGACAAGCAATAGTGACTTGAGTATAGCTCTGCGCCGTCCAGGTACGACCTAGGCAGAGTTTATTGTGATTTGCAAACCTCTGATTGACCAATCAGAACCGAGTTTTGTTTGTTTGTTTGTTGTTTAACGCCGCACTCATCAATATTCCAGCTATTTCACGGCGCTCTGTAAATAATCGAGTCTGGACCAGACAATCCAGTGATTGATGTCATGAGCATCGATCCACGCATTTGGCTGACATGCATCAGCCAAGTCAGGGAGCCAGACCACCCGATCTCGTTAGTCGCCTCTTACGACAAGCACCGAGTAATCTCCAAATTCATGGTACTGCGTAGAACCTGAAGTTAAGGAAATTTGAACTTCAAAATATATTAAAGAGATTTACCCATGACAACAGACCACGTGTTACACTCAACCAACCGGGAGGAAAGGTAGGCGCATAATGAATTTGCAATTGATTTATTTTTATTTTTATTTTATTGCATGGGCTACTAACAAGAATATGAATTATATAGAACCACTACACTGTATATACCCAGATATAGAAAACATCAATACAAGCTCCGTCTGACACGTCTCAACTCACCCAGGTACATTTGTATTCCTGATATGAACGCCATATATTATTGATACATGTAATAAGGGAGCTACACACCAGGTGACAACACTTGTGATAAACACGATTGACTTGTATCGTGGTGCCAATCCTCGGGAATACTTTTATTCTACACTTTAGAAGCCCATGATGACATGCCCTTGCCTTCCAGATATGTCGGCGCCCCCTGGTGGCCGAGTGGAGATACTGGTGTCCTGTCAGGACCTGGTCAATCTGGACGTGTTCACAAAGACTGACCCCATGTGTGTCCTATTTGTGAAACTCTTCGGCCAGTGGAAAGAACACGGGCGGACAGAGGCTATCAGGGAGTCGCTCAACCCCAGGGTAGGTTATCAGGGAATGTCTCCATCCCAAGGTAGGTTATCAGGGAGTCGCTCAACCCCAGGGTAGGTTATCAGAAAGTATCTCAACCCCAAGGTAGGTTATCAGGGAATGTCTCCACCCCAAGGTAGGTTATCAGGGAATGTCTCCACCCCAAGGTAGGTTATCAGGGAATGTCTCCACCCCAAGGTAGGTTATCAGGGAGTCGCTCAACCCCAGGGTAGGTTATCAGGGAGTCTCACATCCCCAAGGTAGGTTATCAGGGAGTGTCTCAACCCCAAGGTAGATTATCATAAAGTATCTCAACCCCAAGGTAGATTATCAGGACATGTCTCATCCCCAAGGTAGGTTATCAGGGAGTCGCTCAACCCAAAGTTAGGTTATCAGGGAGTCTCACAACCCCAAGGTAGGTTATCAGGGTGTCTCATATTTCCAAGGTAGGTTATCAGGGTGTCTCACAACCCCAAGGTAGGTTATCATAAAGTATCCTAACCCCAAGGTAGGTTATCAGGGAGTCTCACAACCCCAAGGTAGGTTATCATAATGTATCTCAACCCCAAGGTAGGTTATCAGGGTGTCTCACAACCCAAAGGTAAGTTAGTTCCTCAACACAATAGTATACTTTTGGGGACTTAAGTTGAGGTAGACCATGGATATCTAGCTTGGTTTGAGGTGGTCTAACGTTGAGGTAGTCAATTGAAGACTATCTTACGTTGAGGTAGGCCATTGAAGACTATCTTACGTTGAGGTAGGACATTGAAGACTATCTTGCGTTGAGGTAGGACATTGAAGACTATCTTACGTTGAGGTAGGACATTGAAGACTATCTTGCGTTAAGGAAGGACATTGAAGACTATCTTACGTTGAGGTAGGACATTGAAGACTATCTTACGTTGAGGTAGGCCATTGAAGACTATCTTGCGTTGAGGTAGGCCATTGAAGACTATCTTGCGTTGAGGTAGGACATTGAAGACTATCTTACGTTGAGGTAGGACATTGAAGACTATCTTGCGTTAAGGAAGGACATTGAAGACTATCTTACGTTGAGGTAGGACATTGAAGACTATCTTGCGTTGAGGTAGGCCATTGAAGACTATCTTGCGTTGAGGTAGGCCATTGAAGACTATCTTGCGTTGAGGTAGGACATTGAAGACTATCTTACGTTGAGGTAGGCCATTGAAGACTATCTTGCGTTAAGGTAGGTCAATGAAGACTTACGTTGAGGTAGGTCATTGAAGACTATCTTACGTTGAAGTAGGCCATTGATGACTAACGTTGAGGTAGGTCATTGAAGACTTACGTTGAGGTAGGTCATTGGAGACTGACGTTGAGGTAGGTCATTGGAGACTGACGTTGAGGTAGGTCATTGAAGACTATCTTACGTTGAGCTAAGCCAACGTTCAGCTTAGGTAGGTTATCATTCATTTTATTCAGCACAGGGCTGTGGCCTACGTACAAAGTATAATACAGTTTGAGACATGTTGGGGCAAAGTGGCAATGACACATACATTGTATACACAAAGAGAGTAAAACCAGCGCAGTTTTGCAAAGCAGTGTTTATAAAATAACATATCTCCATGTCCATATTTAAGTTTTGAAATATTTCTGGCACAGGGTTATAATGGACTGGGCATTCAAATAGAAGGTGAAATTCACCTTCAACAGCATTTTTATCAACAAACACATATTTTTTTATGCAAATTGTGTGTGTGGCGGGTGCTACCAATTCGCGAACACCTGGTGTCATCACTGGAGCCAGGTTATTCTCTGGCGTTGACGTTTTATATCACATATATACTGCATCATCAACATCACCATGCCACTCCATCACGTCCACTAGTATTAGACAAGGATAATGTGTCATTCCTTGACACGTTATACTGAGCCTTACATCTTTAGATTCAATATTTGTCAAATGTGGTCCAATACAAAAGGTATGTTTTAATATACATATATAGATGGGCAACTGTGAATATTTGAAAATATTGGTTCATATGGCACACATTTATTAAAAAACATTTTCTTGTTACCAACTCTCTGGGTTACAAAATAAAGTCAAATTTTCACCTGAAACAATAAGGGAACACATGGTACATGTCAAAATAGGGAATTGCATCATTTTTGTCAGATTTGGAAATGTCCCCAACTACTCGTAACCGGGATCAAACAACTTATTAGCAAGAGTCGTTTGACGCCTTTTGAAATCTTGGTAGAAAGAGCATGTTCGATTGTATCTCAAAAGTTATAAAACAGGTAGACACAAAGGGCTGGAGATGCGAAAATATTGATTGACATAAAAGGAAAGTTGACTCTTGGCTTGTCAAGGAGTCACAAGGAATCAGCATGAATACAATTTCTTCCTCATTCTGCCAGAACAGCAATCTTTGTTCATCTGTAACTTATTTACAGAACATATATACAAAATCTTACACGAAATTGCTCAATAACCGCCCATTTCTAGAACCCCCATTTCGGAGGTCTACAAAATAACTGGCTCAATTTGCACATCAAAGATGGTCCGCATTACAATTGAAGATATAGTTTCTTTAATCACATAGCGAAATGTTTAACTGATGCCCTGTTATATTGATAAGCTATGAAGGTGGACCATGAAGCACTAACGTACCAACCTATTACAACTTTGAAGGAGTAACCTTAGGTAGGTTTAGTGGGACTACCTGAACTCCAGGTAAGGGCCCTCAATGATCACCTCACCAGGACATGTTTGTTTGTTTGTTTGTTTGTTGTCTCGATGCAATGGCACACAAACAGTCAGGTCACAGGCTTCCCGAACCTTAATTAGTGTCGGTTCTTACGACAAACATAAGGTACTCAATTTCATTCAAATCCGATCTTACTTCTCGCTACCGCTAAACAAAGTTCTGAGGACGTCCCATTAGGGGTCACATCAGAACGACCTTTCATCCAGTCAGAGCGTCGCTTACCAGATCGTGAAAATGACAGTCGAACGATAGTTACGGGTTTAACGACTGAATCCATACAACCAAGACCATCTATTAGCCATTCCATTAAGGTTTCACTTTTTTAAATTGAGAATTTGTCAAAATATGGTTTGAAGCGTAGTCGCCAATTTGAAATCAGTGCCGTGAAGCACGAGAAAGCTGCCTTCTTATTGGCTAATGTCGACTTCTTGTCAGTCCTTCCAATGGTCGGTCAAACTTAGCGCAAGTTCGGTCTGACGTGACCCGTAATGGGATATCCTCAGATCCTAAAAAAGTGAGGACCTACCCTGTCTCGGAATCCCAGTGTATCCGATGTACTAATGAAAGTTGACTTGTAGGTGGTATATGTAGTATTTGTGTATGGAAGAGATACAATGTGTGTCATTGTGGAGTATACTGACACCTGCGGTTTCTGCCCAGTTCACACAGGTCTTCCTCGTGGACGTGCAGCCTGACGTGCAGCAACACCTTATGTTCTCCGTGTACGACATCGACAGTAGGTGAGTGCATCGGCATGGGAACGTTCCCGTGGAGGGAATGTGACGTGCATCTGTCAGTAGACCCGTGAAGATCCAGGGTAGAACCCATGCTTGCCGTAAAAGGCGACTATACTTGTAAGAGGCGACAAACGGGATCGGGTGGTCAGGCTCTCTCACTTAGTTGAAGCATGTCTTCGTATCCCAACTGCATGGATTGATGCTTAATATGATGTCAGTCAGTTGATTGTCTGGCCCAGACTCGATTTTTTTACAGACCGCTTTCATATAGCTGGGATATTGCTGAGTGCGGCGTTGAACAACAAAAACAGTATTTGTGAGTAGCGGCGCGAGCTGCATTGTCAGATGAATCGGTACGTGGTGGATTCAGTCCCGTATATCCCACTATTGACACCAGAATCGGCGGTATCACTACGAGTTAATAATGTTCAATTCTGCACGTTTTATTTACATGTGTATATAGACACGTGTACCCAATTAATGCTTGTTAAAGTAAATCACGTACCTCCACCTCACTGGTGTGACTTACATTTACAGGTATATGTTTATCTTGGGGCCCGACGGCGGGCAGTCAATAAGGTTTTTTTCAATCTCAATCGTGAAGTGTAGATTAAATGACGTCACATAAAACAGCATGATGGCTGGACTTGTCGTGGGGTTTGCAAGCTACATGTATCACCTAGCCGGATGGCTTAATTTTATAACGACTAGTATACTATCATCTGCTCCGTGGTCTAATGGCAGAGCGTCCGCCCGGAGAGCGGAGAGCGGAAGGTCCGGGGTTCCATCCCCGACCGCGTCATACCAAAATACGTTAAAATATGGTACTTGTTGTTACCCTGTCTGGCGCTCGGCATTAAGGTGCTAAAACAAGGACTGGTCGGCTCGGAGTTAGTATACTGTGTCTGAGTGGTGTTACACTGCGGCATGGTATCTCAGTGAGCTAGCACTATAAATCGGCATCAGTCCGGACTAGTACAAGCAGCCACACACACATACACGTGCATGCACGTCGCTATATAAGTGCAATAATCGTGGACGCGACGTTAAACCCCATTTCACCTCACCTACTATCATCTGTTACTTCACGGCGTATAGTCCTGAAAGGGACAGTAGGTTTTAGCAGATATTAAGCACGACGGACCTATATTAATCATTAAAGTGTAACTTTTGCCAAAACAAATTCATCTCGATTTTGGTGACATCGGCTATTGTGGTACAACAACAACACCACTTTAATGTTTTTCAATAACGCGGTGATTGTGTTTTATGCGGCCTCAGGTCATCAGACTTGCGCCAACATGACTTTGTTGGATGCGTGGAGGTGACTCTGGACTCACTGATTGACGTCACCAAACCTTGGACCACCACTTCCAGGATTCTTCGAGTAGCAGGTGCGCGTTGCCATGACAACATCGTCTGTTGAAAGCATTACGTATAAAACTACCATCATAAAGTGAACATTGCAGGATTTTCTTTAATTATTTTAAAACTGTTCATTGCTAGAGAAGTGGGGTAAAGGGAGAATACTCTATATACCTAACTGCTTAATGGTAGAGTCCTCTCTGAAGTAATCAATACACCGCTGCACTATGACTGCCACACTATGCTGGAGTTATATTATTCATTCTTTTATTAAACTATTTATGGCATAAATCCGACCCTCCTTACCATTGCCCCCAGGTGATCCGAAGTCTCGTGGTCTGATTAACATGACCGCCGAGATTGTGCGAGAAACGAGAAGCAAAGCCCAGTTCCATGTAGCGGGTCACAAACTAGGGAAGGTCGGCTTCCTCAATAACCGCAAGGTGAGAAGGAAACACGGGGAAATGCCAATATCTGGTATCGAAATAATAAAATAAATGTAAATTCTATACACTGCCGTATTTTTATCGATGTTACGTGACGAGCAATGCTAATGTGTTGTTTGGTCGGAACGTATATATTACAGAAATATTCTTTATAGTGACACTTTTTATGTAATTATCATGAGAAAGTTCGACTGAACCGTCGCCTGTTTCTTGTAATGATTGATACGCTGCCAGTATGGTTTTAATGTTCTCTGGTTTCTACAGCCAGACACGTACCTCGAAATCGGCCGACAGATAAACAGCGTGACATACCACCCGGTGTTCAGGACAGAGGTGCAGCACAAGACGAGGAGTCCCAGGTACAGAGTGAGTGAGTGAGTGAGTGAGTGAGTGAGTGAGTGAGTGAGGCTTAACGCCGCTTTGAAAAATATTCCGATTAAATCCCGGCGTATCAGTTTATATGAACCGCATATATTTTCTAGTATAATTGAAACACGAGCACGAGTTTGGTACTGACGAACCAAGGATCGAACCCAGGACCAGCAGATCCGGGATCCTTGCTTTTCATGAACACATACACACCCGTGTAGCTAGAAGGGAGAGCTAGCCTAATTAAAGCTCTAGTTTTAATTCCGTCTATAGTATAGCATGGGAGGTCCATTTTGGGGATTGTCCTCACAGTATGTTTCACATCAATAGTGCTAGAAACAGGGCAAATCGCCACACTCACTCACTCACTCACCCAACCAACCATCACCCACTCACTCACTCAAAATCTTACCGAGTCACTCCATCAATCACTCACACACTCACTCTCTCACTAACTCACACACAGACACACACAAAATCTCGCCCACTCACTCACTCACTCATTAATTTGCCTTGAAGGGAGAGAATGAAGCCGTTTTTGTTGTTTTTAAGCGGCACTCAGCAATGCTATTCTGTTCTGTAAATGATCGAGTCCGAACCATACAATTCTGTGATTGACATCATGAACATCGATCCTCGCTGTTGGGATACGCTGACATGCGCCAACCAAGTCAGCGAAACTGACAGCCGATCCATTTAGTCTCTTACGACAAGCATGGGTTGCTGAAGACCAATTCTAACTTGTATTTGCACTGGTTCCCAGTAGTGGAGAACGTGCACCCACTGACACCCCGTGATCAGTCAGGTCACCACCGGCTGTATATACTTCCTTGTTCATGATAGGATATCAGTTTCAGTCTTATTAAAACTGGATTTTTTATTATTTTTATGGTGAAAAATCTTTTTGATCGTTAAATCACAGCTGGCGCCCGTTCGACGTGAGCATGCAAAGACTCTGCAACGACGACCTTGACCGCCCAATACAGTTTTCCTGCTGGCATACGAACTATGGGTAGGCAGCGAGAAGTGTTATCAGCAAACATGTTAATTAAGTCTCGTCGAGAGTCTTGATTTAAGAGCATATACTCGCCAAAATGAAAACGTGAAGCTTATGTGTACCATTATTATGATATTTAATAATAATTTATGGTAATTGTTGGAACTACAAATCAACCTACATATTAGTTTGTTTATTTGTTTGTTGTTTAACTCCGCACTCTGCAATATTCCATCTATATGACGGCGGTCTGTAGGTGATGGTGAAATTGGGTTTAACGTCGCGTCCAAGATTATTGCACTTATATAGCGACGTGCATGTACGTGTGTGTGTGGCTGCTTGTACTAGTCCGGACTGATGCCGATTTATAGTGCTAGCACACTGAGATACCATGCCGCAGTTTAGCATGAATACCCCACTCAGATACAGTATACTGACTCCGAGCCGACCAGTCCTTGTTTTAGCCCCTTAATGCCGAGCGCCAGACAGGGTAACAAGTACCATCTTTTAACGTCTTTTGGTATGACGCGGCCGGGGATCGAACCCCGGACCTTCCGCTCTCCGGGCGGACGCTCTAGAGCACGGAGGCGGTCTACGGCGGTCTGTAAATAATCAAATCTGGACCAGACAATCTAGTGCTTGACATTATGAACATTGATCCACGCAATTGGGATCGATGACATGCGTCAACCAAGTCAACAAGCCTGACCACCCGATCCCGTTAGTCGCCTCTTACGACAAGCATAGTCGCTTCTTACAGCAAGCATGGATTGCTGAAGACCTATTCTATCCCGGATCTTCACGTGTCAATTACATCATTAATCTGTTCTTGAAGAACTATTTTATACCTGTTACTGATTACTTCGGGCCAGGTATCAAACATGTTTATTGGCGTCAACCATCATTTTGACACCCGGTGTTTTACAAAAGTTGGTTACTATCGGATAATAATCATTGACCTGACTAAAAATATCTGATTTGTATTACTGCATGGCCTCCAAAAATATTATTAATATTATCATGTAACTTTATGACGGTCGACATGACCAAACTGATGGTTGACGGACTATGGGCATCTTGATGATGATGATGATGATGATGATGATACCATTATTATGTGAAAATGTGTTTGGAAATGAAACGTAAATATCTGAAATACATTTAGGTGCTCGATAATGAGAGATATACAGTAAACTTCGGTTATAACGAACTCCAAGGGACCACTCATTTTGGTTCGTTATAACCATAGTTCGTTATAAGCATATACACAGCATATATACAACAAATGGCCGGGACTTAAAATAAGTTCGTTATATCGATCAGTTCGTTATAAGTGTGTTCGTTATAACCGTAGTTTACTGTATGCTGGTTTGTTTCCAGGGCTGGGTTCAAGTCTGCCTATGACAAACTAGGGGAGTTTGTGACAACAGCCAGAAAGCTCCTGAACATGAAAAGGTGAGGTCCATTTTTGGAATATGACTTGCTAATTGCAACATGTAATGTTGACTTCGTTACCAAATTAGGATGACAGTCCAGTGGGCGATAGTGTGTCTCCGCTCCATGCTGCCATAGTGTGTATACAACAGCAGGTATAACAGCCGAATACATCTCACGTGGGCACGTGTGAACATGCACGAGACTCGAGGGCCATATTATAAGACAATACATTGTTCCAGCTTTACCAGTATATAAAATACGGCATGTATTTCGTCGCATAACGAAACATTTTCTTCACACACGTAACCTGTAGTTTGTGACAGTTGTGAACAACCCATTTCATTTTGGGTTAGAGAGGGAGGTGTGTGTGTGTGTGTGTGTGTGTGTGCGTGTGTGTGAGTGAGTGAGTGAGTGAGTGAGTGAGTGAGTGTGTGTGTGTGGGCGTGCGTGCGTGCGTGTGTGTGTGTGTGAGTGAGTGAGTGTGTGTGGGTGGGCGTGCGTGCGTGTGTGTGTGTGTGTGTGTGAGTGAGTGAGTGAGTGAGTGTGTGTGGGTGGGCGTGCGTGCGTGCGTTGTGGTTGGGTGTGCCGCTGTGGGTGTTGGTATTGATTTCATATTCCCTTTACGTGTGCCTTGTGTCATTCCCAGAGTAAACAATTACAAGAGCTTCCATCTCATTTGCCCAAAGAAGGAGAAGAAAAAAAAGAAGGATGTTACTTCCGGCAGCGTTAGATTTTACCAGTTCCGGTAAGAAAAAATCACAAAGAGTTATAATCTGATATAGCTTTTCACACTTTGACAAAAACAGTACGATATAAAAGTAATATTCATGTGTCTTGTCTATAGGAAAGAAAGTGATCAAACCACAGCTTGCAGGATTGTCTTTGAGGAAGATTTGTTACATCCGGCTGAAAAAACCCAGCGGGATCGATAAGGTTACATATTAGATTTTTTCATCCATTGCGACGTGAGATTCTTACAGCACTCCAGTATTCGAATCTAAAGAATATTTTTTAAGTAAGTTCTCTGGGCGGTAATGTGAATTGAAGACGGTCGAAAACGTGCCATCGGATACAATCACGCAACATCCGGCGTGTGACATCTCTGAATGTGAAGGTACGTGAAGATCCGGGGTAGAATAGGTCTTCAGCAACCCATGCTTACTGTGAAAGTCGATTATGCTTGTCGGTAGAGGCGACTAATGGGATCGGGTGGTCAGGCTCGCTGACTTGGTTGATGCATGTATCAATTGCGAGGATCGATGCCCATGATATCAGTCACTGGAATGTCTGGTCCAGACTCGATTATTAACAGACCGCCGTCACATAGCTGGAGTGCGGCGTTAAACAACAAACAAATAAACAAACAAACAAACTAAGTTATGTAGGTTGATATGTAGTTCCAATAATTACAATACATTATTATAAAATATCATAATACCGGTACACATAAGCTTCACGTTTTCATTTTGGCGAGTGCGGCCTTAAACAAAAAACAAACAAACAAACAAACAAACAAAAGCAAAACGTAACTAGTTATGTTGGTCACTCAATGGACGCAAGAAGACAGGGAGGGTCAGGAAGAGAACGCTGACCGCATTTAGATTGAACAATCCGTACTGAAATACCTCCGTATGTTGTTGGAGTGCTGGAATTCAGTTCATTCATAAGAGTTGTCGTCTTCGAAGCACTTCATGAGTAAATGTAGAATAAATCCACAACACCCTTTCCAATATCAAAAGAAAACTCTAAAAGCAAAGACCATTGTACCATTCCCACTGTGTCATAAACGTGTGTATGAAGACAGTTATGATAATCAGAACATGCGAGCGTGTCTCGCGATGGCACCTGTCACAAACTCTTTTCAGACTTTAAGGCAAGGCAAGTTTATGGAATCTCAACAGACCCGCGTCACATGTTTGTCATTCAGCCGACTATTTAACCAAACTGAAACTGTGTATTGAATGAGCTGTCTCTTGGTAGAGCAGAATGTCAGGTGAATGTTTCTCTCGATGCGGATATGGGTTGAATTGTCTGACACATGAATGTCTCTTGTTGATGGTACATGTAGAACTGTCTGACACATAGATGTCTCTTGTTGAGGTACATGTAGAACTGTCTGACACATGAATGTCTCCTGTTGATGGTACATGTAGAACTGTCTGACACATGGATGTCTCTTGTTGATGGTACATGTAGAACTGTCTGACACATGAATGTCTCCTGTTGATGGTACATGTAGAACTGTCTGACACATGGATGTCTCTTGTTAATAGTACATGTAGAACTGTCTGACACATAGATGTCTCTTGTTGAGGTACATGTAGAACTGTCTGACACATGAATGTCTCCTGTTGATGGTACATGTAGAACTGTCTGACACATAGATGTCTCTTGTTGATGGTACATGTAGAACTGTCTGACACATGGATGTCTCCTGTTTATAGTACACGTAGAACTGTCTGACACATGGATGTCTCTTGTTGATGGTACATGTAGAACTGTCTGACACATGAATGTCTCCTGTTATCTGTACACGTAGAACAGTCACATGCATGGATGTCTCTTGTTGATGGTACGAGTAGAACTGTCTGACAAATGGATGTCTCTTGTTGATGGTACACGTAGAACTGTCTGACACATAGATGTCTCCTGTTAATTGTACACGTAGAACTGTCTGACACATGGATATCTCTTGTAAGTGGTTCATGTAGAACTGTCTGACACCATGGATGTCTCCTGTTAATGGTACATGTAGAACTGTCTGACACATGGATGTCTCCTGTTAGTGGTACATGTAGAACTGTCTGACACATGGATGTCTCTTGTTGGTGGTACATGTAGAACTGTCTGACACCATGGATGCCTCCTGTTAATGGTACATGTAGAACTGTCTGACACATGGATGTCTCTTGTTAATGGTACACGTAGAACTGACGTCTGACACCATGGATGTCTCCTGTTAATGGTACATGTAGAACTGTCTGACACATGGATGTCTCTTGTTAATGGTACATGTAGAACTGTCTGACACATGGATGTCTCTTGTTAATGGTACATGTAGAACTGTCTGACACATGGATGTCTCTTGTTGATGGTACATGTAGAACTGTCTGACACCATGGATGTCTCCTGTTAATGGTACATGTAGAACTGTCTGACACATGGATGTCTCTTGTTAGTGGTACACGTAGAACTGTCTGACACCATGGATGTCTCCTGTTAATGGTACATTAAGAGCTGTCTGACACCATGGATGTCTCCTGTTAATGGTACATGTAGAGCTGTCTGACACCATGGATGTCTCCTGTTAATGGTGCATGTAGAACTGTCTGACACCATGGATGTCTCTTGTTAATGGTACATGTAGAACTGTCTGACACCATGGATGTCTCCTGTTAATGGTACATGTAGAACTGTCTGACACATGGATGTCTCTTGCTAGTGGTACATGTAGAACTGTCTGACACATGGATGTCTCCTGTTAATGGTACATGTAGAACTGTCTGACACATGGATGTCTCTTGTTGATGGTACATGTAGAACTGTCTGACACATGGATGTCTCCTGTTAATGGTACATGTAGAACTGTCTGACACATGGATGTCTCTTGTTGATGGTACATGTTGAACTGTCTGACACATGGATGTCTCTTGTTGATGGTACATGTAGAACTGTCTGACACATGGATGTCTCCTGTTAATGGTACATGTAGAACTGTCTGACACATGGATGTCTCTTGTTGATGGTACATGTAGAACTGTCTGACACATGGATGTCTCCTGTTAGTGGTACATGTAGAACTGCCTGACACATGGATGTCTCCTGTTGATGGTACATGTAGAACTGTCTGACACATGGATGTCTCTTGAATGTTGTACTTGCTGTGTTCAGTGTGGACAAGCAGCACTCCCTGATGGACTTCGTGCGAGGCGGATGCAAGCTGAGACTCATCATTGCTATCGACTTCACTGTAAGTTCCACCAATCTGTTGTCCAAGGCCAAACCGTCACAGCTGGTAGGTCCTGTTAAAACACATCGCGATTATATATTGGTTAAAATAAATTTTATTCACCTCCTTGAGAAAAGTGTATTCAGCCTACTAGTACCTTAGGTCGAATTGGAGGTTAGTCATGTCTTTGGCGTTAAAGGTAACGTTGAGTGAGTCAGTCAGTCAGTCAGTGAGTGAGTGAGTTGGTGGGTGGGTGAGTGAGTGAGTGAGTGAGTGAGTGAGTGAGTGAGTGAGTGAGGATACGGCTGCAATTATATCAGGCCGTGGGGACACTACACACATTTGTCATGCAAATGTGATACATTGTTAAAATTGTGGTTTCCAATAAAGCGCGTCCAATAATCTCCTATTCACGGCCTTATTGCAAACTACTGAACTATAATTCAGATACAATATCACTTCGCAGGCTGATAAAAAGAAATTTAGTTTGCCTATCATAAAGTTGTTACATCTTCCTGTGCACTTGCAGGCTTCCAATGGTACAGTATCGGACGAACTATCTCTCCATAGCTGCGACGATGCAAAGGTGGGTGATCGGAGGTGCCTTTCACACACATATACACATATACAGTAAACTACGGTTATAACGAACACGCTTATAACGAACTGACCGATATAACGATCTTACTTGTTAGCCACGGACACGTGTTGCATATATGTTGTATATATGCTTATAACGAACTACGAACTACGGTTATTACGAACTAAAATGGGTGGTCCCTTTGAGTTCGTTATAACCGTAGTTTATTGTACATCACAATCAACATGGATCTGTGAAACATTCTACCTACTCGTGTATGTGAGTGAATTTGGTTAAATTCAACATAGATCTATACAACATTCAACCTAGATCTATACAACATTCAACCTAGATCTATATAACATTCAATCTAGATCTATATAAACATTCAACCTAGATCTATACAACATTCAACCTAGATCTATACAACATTCTACCTAGATCTATATAACATTCAACCTAGATCTATACAACATTCAACCTAGATCTATACAACATTCTACCTTTATCTATACAACATTCAACCTAGATCTATACAACATTCAACCTAGATCTATATAACACTCAACCTGGATCTATAAAACATTCAACCTAGATCTATACAACATTCAACCTAGATCTATACAACATTCTACCTATATCTATACAACATTCAACCTAGATCTATACAACATTCAACCTAGATCTATACAACATTCAACCTATATCTATACAACATTCTACCTATATCTATACAACATTCAACCTAGATCTATACAACATTCAACCTAGATCTATACAACATTCAACCTAGATCTATACAACATTCTACCAAGATCTATACAACATTCAATCTAGATCTATATAACATTCAACCTAGATCTATACAACATTCAACCTAGATCTATATAACATTTAACCTAGATCTATATAAACATTCAACCTGGATCTATACAACATTCAACCTAGATCTATACAACATTCAACCTAGGTCTATACAACATTCAACCTAGATCTATATAACATTCAACCTAGATCTATATAAACATTCAACCTGGATCTATACAACATTCAACCTAGATCTATACAACATTAAACCTAGGTCTATACAACATTCAACCTAGATCTATACAACATTCAACCTAGATCTATACAACATTCAACCTAGATCTAAACAACATTCAACCTAGATCCACATAACATCCTGTCAGTGTCTATATTACATGCTGCATGTACCCAGCTTAAAAGAGGCGACTATGCTTGTTGTAAGAGGCAACTGCCGGGATCGGGTGGTCAGATTCGCTGAATTGGTTGAGTCATGTCATCGTATCCCAATTGCGTAGATCGATGCTTATGATATCAATCACTGGATTGTTTATCCAGACGCGATTATTTACAGACCGCTGTCATATAGCTGGAATATTGCTGAGTGCGACGTTAAACAACAAACAAACAAACAAATTTTAAAACTCGGTTCTGATTGGTCAATCAGAGGTTTGCAAATCACAATAAACTCTATCTTCCTGAGGCAAGCGTGTCAACAAACAAACAAACAAACAAACAAAACCTACCTCAATAATGATATCATTATGATTATGATTGTTTGAGGTAATTATCGGGCGTGTTGTATTTGTTAGATTTCATGCTACAAGAACATGGTTTTGTTGATTACGTCTTGGTTTACGTCTTCAAGTATCGACCTTCAGTATACCTTGTTTGGCTACAGTCTTGTCCATCAATGGTCGACAGTATCAACAAGAACAACGCACTGTCACACATACTGCAAGAGCAATCCAAGTTGTATCAAAGAATATATTTCTTTCTTTTTTTTCGATTTGAGGGATGAAGCCGGGCTCAGAGCAGATGAGCGATCATAGACTTGCACAAGTCTCTTAGGCAATAATTATTAGTTTAAATCAAAATTCCTAGATTACTAGTATGTAAATAATAAAAGTTGTCCCTATAAGAGACTGGAGTCCTTAGAACTGTCCATATATCTAGATTTGCCTATTAGTAAGTGTGTGAGTGCGTTGGGTTTAACGCCGCTTTTAACAGTATTCCAGTCATACCAGGGCGTACCAGCTTAATGTGGGAGGAAAGCCCCAAGTGATGCAGGTCTCAGGCGTTTACGACTTCGGTGAAACCCACGAGCACGGGTATGGTGCTGACAAACCTAGAAACATAATCGGGGCGAACCGGGATTCGAACCCACAATCATAGGTTTCTGGCGTGTCTTTATGATTGTGGGTTCGAATCCCGGTTCGCCCCGATTATGTTTCTACGTTTGTCAGCACCATACCCGTGCTCGTGGGTTTCACCAAAGTGGTAAACGTCTGAGATTGCATCACTTGGGGCTTTCCTCCCACATTAAGCTGGTACGCCGGATATAACTGGAATGAGGTGTTAAAAAGCGGCGTTAAACCCAGCCCGCTCACTCACTCTCGCATGTCTTGTCACCAGAACCAGTACCTGGCGACGATACAGACGCTCGGAGCCAGCATATCTCGCTACGACGTGGAGCAGAAGATAGCAGTGTTTGGATTTGGCGCCAAGAGAACATCAGACGACAATCCGCTCCACTGCTTCCCGCTCAGAGACAACCAATCAAATATCTGGGTCAGCGGGGTCAAGGTCAGTCTGGCTGCTTATAAGAAATCGCCGATATGCAACTTTCTTCCTAAATCGGACCAATCTGTATACATGTTATTGCAATAAATACACCCTTTTGAAAGGGATAGGACGTGACATTTGACAATAAGGGGAAATATCGTGCAGATATTAGAAGTTACTTTTATAGACATAATGAATGATATAAACATCATCTGCACTAAATACCGTCAGCACGAAGTATCGTCAGCACAAAATACCATATGCACTAAAAAACTTTATAACTAAACACCATCTGAACGAAGCATCATCTGCATTAAATACCATCTGCACTAAATACCATCTGCACTCACTTGAGTGAGTGAGTGATTGTGGGTTTAGGTCGCTTTTGGCAATATTCCAACAATATCAAGGCGGGGAACACTGGACATCTGCACTTGACATCATCTTTACTAAATATCACCATCTGCACTAAACATCATTTACATTAAATATCACCATCTGCACTAAACATCCACCCCCTAATTATCATCATCTGCACTAAACCCCATCTGCATTAAACATCATCTCCAGTAAACACGGTCTGCATTAAATATCATATGCACCAAATACAATTTGCACTTAATACCATCTGCAATAAATATTACCTACATTGAACACCATCAGCCATGTTTATCACCATAACGTTTAAAGCCTGAAGAATATTACATGGAGATCAGACAGTCCTCCACTCTACTTCCTTGATTTCACAGCACATTCAGGTCGCCTTCTAAGTAACTACTGGTAAGCCAAGATTACTTGAGTTGTGACCTGACAATTAACCACGTATGACTGTGTATGAGGTCCGCCCTCAGGCGCGTACCACTGTGAAGAAAGGGGTAGAGGGTGGTCCGCGACAAGCAACAGATAGATATGTGTGTGTCCTGTCTCGGCTAACAACGAGACTTAAATAGCACATGATAGTACGTGGTGATGTGAAGTATCCGATGACTGTGAAAACGGTGACAGCAAATTTGTACATATAACAATAATTGAGAAGTATTGTGACAATGAAGGGAATTCATATGCTGTAGAAATGGAGACAGAGGGAAATAATGAAGAAAGTCATGTCATTCATCAAATGGTTGTGAAGGCTGAGACCTTAACGTAGTGATAGTTGACTCAATGACATACTCCATGAATAATCCCATATGATTGTTTATGGGATTTCAGCATGCTGTAAACGTAATATTGCTAGCTGGATTTATTTTGAGATAACTGGGTAATCATAGCTATAGTCTTCAAATTTACCGTATTCGACGTAATAAGCGCCCAGGGCGCTCTCAAAGTTAGAAATAGGGGGCTCTTATTAGAATATAATTTTGGTGAGGAAAAAAGAGAGTTTAAAGATCGGATATTTCGTGGTTTATGCTGACAGCCTGAAATAATACAGAAGAAAAGTCGTATTATACACGACAGATATATTTTCCAGAATTTAATTGCCCATAATTAAGGGTGCATATAACACACGAGTGCGTATTATACACGAATAAATACGTCTTGTGTACATTGATCAATTGGAAGGGGTGCTAATTGGGATTGTTCACTTGCCAATATATTAGCAAATATCGCCGTGGGCGCTTATTAGGACGGGGCGCTTATTACGTCGAATACGGTATGTGTTTGTAATTAACCTCTATCAACGTAGACGTTTAGAGAATTCTGGTATCGACTTGCCACATCTTAATATACTTATGAGCAACACGTGTGTCCACGGGAGTCAAATTCATCGTCGTGACCTGTACGTGCACAACATGCGTGCACCCTCTCTACCTGTAACAAACCAAATATGTTTGCCAAAATCCTGTGCGCCGCCTATTTGCGTCAAACCCATTTTGTGAGTTGGCTCAACGTATCCTGGATTACCAGTAGTTAGCAGCAGCTTCCTTGGCCTTTCGTTCAGAACATTTCCAAGTAAGGACACATATGGTGGACTTAGCAATTCAAATATCATGATGATAATGAGTCGGGCGAGGAACTGATAGATGCAAATCGGCTCCTTGTTACTGAGTCTCCGCGACATCTGTGACAACGGTGACATCTCTCCCCAGGGGGTAACGGAAGCATACACAAACGCCCTTCCCACTCTGACCTTTGCTGGGCCAACCTGCGTGGCGCCGGTCATAGCAACCGCTGCTGACGTCATCCGTGACGCCACAGTCACCCAAGGCAACCAGATATACCACGTGCTGCTTATTCTTACAGTAAGTCTCTACCGTAAGCAGCAAGGCGTCATATTAAATGCGTATATGTGAAATCTAATTTCTAATTATTCCCTATGAAAACTTAATTGCTATTATTATTAGCGAATCACGTTTCATGGCGTTGTTCATAATATCTTTTTATGAAAAGTACCATCTTTCCAAAATGATCATTCTTGTGATATATTTGATATCAATGTTTCGTGGTCCTAGGATGGTGTAATTAACGATATCGACGAGACGATACATCGACTAATTGACACGAGTGGTCTCCCTTTGTCAGTTATCATCGTTGGAGTTGGGCCTGCCGACTTTTCTTTGATGGTAAGTGTCAGGAGATGTTTGTTTTTTACAGATCCATCCTCAAGATTTCACAAATGTTGAATAAAATATACATCTTTGTCTCCTCAAACCAAATCTGTTAACCAATGTCCTCGTTAGTATAAAGCCAAAATTAGGTCACTGTGGGAAGGGAACTAACTCTTTGTCTACAAAGGACGACGTAGGATGATGGCCCTTTTTGGCCTGCAGGATCTGCACAATTTAGGAACTGAGGCAAATATTTAAACATTGGCATGAAAGTTAACAGATGCGTTCATCTGAATGGTAATTTAGACTTTGTCCATTTCAACAATCATAAATTTGAGACGTTTGACGACACAGTGTCCCAAAATGGCATTTTTTAAGAGGTTTTAAGGAAGCGTTTTCTGATATTTGGATTGAACCAATCTGTGACCCGAGCTGTTTTTCGTAGATGTTGATTAAGAACAGTACATTCATGATATAGAAAATCAGAAATGGTGCTGATCTTAGAATTTTACCACTTTGGTGAAACCGATGATAATGTGTAGAGCACTGACAAACCTGGAAATCAAGGCGAACAGGGATTCGCACCAACGGTTATAGGGTTCTGGCACGCCTAAGGGACGCCACTCTGTACCAATGTGCATACAAGAAACGATGTAACCTAAAGATAATCATCGAATCATACCAACAAACTGGAAGGGTTAACGTAACACGTGGCCTAAGTACGCCGTAATGGAATATTCCCATTCTGCACACGTCAGAAGTACAACACCATCTGAATTGGCTCTCGATGGCTGCCGTTAACTCTATGCTCCCTGTCCTGTCCAGTCTTCGAATGCATGGTATGAAACTTGACACTTGACACTTGATACCTGCCGTGTGTTCATCACATTGACATTACCTTTAATGACCAACTCCGACAAATCGAATAGCAACTCGTGCCCCTCTGTGCCCATTTTAAGCGACTGGCATCCGTCTAAGCGCAAAAGAGCATAGTTAAAACAATTGTCAAGTCGTTGGTTATTATTCACGTATATTTCCCCCCATGTCATACATATTCCAGATGCTATTTAAAACACATCGGGACTTGACTGAACACATTTAACTGTATTTAGAGTATATTTTTAAATGCAAGAGGGATTCGTTGACCAAAGTACTTGAAGTACGCGCATTCTGATTGGTTTGTCGTATTTTAGCATTCATCGATAGTGGAGTCTTCTTGCAGGTTACGGAAAGAGGCGAGTGGTGACGAATGTGAAAGTATAGCAGTACTTAATGTTCATGCAACCCCTGCCATTCCAGGAGCAGTTTCATACACGCGACAACAGGCCCCTGGCAGATGACCACAGCAAGAGGACAGCAACTCGAGCCAATGTCCACTTCACAGCTCTGAAGAAGGAAGCCTTGGTCAGCGGGGGCAGCCTGGCTGTGGTCAGTACATCACATGAGTCAGTGACAGCGTCCATTTCCACTGCTTCCTGTGTGTTTACGGCCGGATTTCAGTCAGAATTTGTTCCTAGCATCCTTTGCAAGAACAACGACAGAAACCTTTACTCATGACCGAGGGTGCCATTACTATTATGAAAATGTTGAATCTACGTACCAAATACGCTCTGACGTTACTGAACCACCACATTGGCAGCCTCATTACTCATGCTATCGACCACTGGTTTGTCTGATCAAGATCTATTTGCACATTTTCGTGATATAGCTAGACTTCTGCCGACTCGGCAGAAAAGGACAGTTACCGCTTAAATACTCACAGGAACATGATACCTGTCAACGTCTTACTCCTTCTGGATCATATAGGGCTTCTAATGTACACGCCTACGCTCAACGTCTAGATAATTTACTTTAAGAAGTTTAAATGGCAAGGAAACTGCTTTGTGTTTCAGGGCTGTGGCTTGGCCTGGTGGTTACATCGTCCGCGAGTCACATCCACGTCAAAATGTATTGGGGGCGGTCGGGTAGCCTAGTGGTTTAAGCGTTCGCTCGTCACGCTGAAGACCCGGGTTCGATTCCCGACATGGGTACAATGTGTTAAGCCCATTTCTGGTGTCCCCCGCCGTGATATGGCTGGAATATTGCTAAAGTCGGCGTAAAACCATACTCACTCACTCACTCACTCACTCACTCACTCCAAATGTAAGGCCAGTTGTATAGACAAGGGGTTACTTTCCCCACTCTAATAAACTGATCCTACCTTGTGACATTCCAGGTGCAAGAAGCCCTCGCCTCGCTGTCATCCCAGTTTCTCCAGTACATGAAGTGCCACAATATAACTCCAAACAGACCCCGTGTAATGAAAGCTGACCCCCGGAGCTCCTGGGTGGGGTCAACAGCGGAGGAGAGGGAGGGTCTGGAGACCATGGGTATGATATCAGCCCCCTCTATGACGTCACTGGCGTCCAGGGGGTCGAGAGGCTCGGCCATGTTCACACAGACGGGTAGGTGGATTCTTCATTGGAATCTGTAGCGTGCGAAACCTGTTCCATCGGAAGCGCCCATAAAATCCTTCAAACCTTAACGTCGACTTTTGTAGTTGTCTGAAATTTTGCCTTCACAAGTATATTTTGTAAAACGATAATCAGTCTCGATTATACCCCGAAACAGATTCAAGTAAATTAATCTCAGGAAAATGAGTTTATTATTTGGCTAATGACTGATACTTCATCTATTTCAGGTCCGTTCTGTCCAACGTGCGGATCGTCGGTGGGGGACGGCCTGGGGGGTTCAATGTACGATGTTCACACCTTCTAGCGTTCTGGAGGTCTAGGCCTGAGCATCAGAAGGCTAGCGGACGAGAGGACAAGAATATAAATCAACGCGCGGTCCAGCGGCGAGTTGGTTCGCTCGAATGCAAAAGCGTGGACCAGCAAATTTGCAGATATGTGGAACAATTGACTAGTGGGCGCGTGAACAGGACGCTAGAACACGCGTTGGCTAGTTGACTGGCAGACCACTTATCCAGATGACTAACGGGCTAGTGGGCCAGTGTGCTAGCAGAGTTTGACAATGAGACATTACATGAACGGACTTCCAGTACGATAATCCGAAATATACGCGGACAAGAGGATCAGCAGGATGGTGGACAAGTCGGCGAGTGGACAAGCAGACTAGCGTGCAAGATAGTCATGTGCAATACACAAGCAGCAATACGAATCAACATTGAATATATCTCAGTACAAAGTCAACACAGTATGATCCGATTCCCGTCAGAATGATTCAGACATTTCACCGGAACTAAATTACAATGGATAGAACAATATAGTTGTGGAGACATGACGTGTCTGTTATTCGTATGAAGAATCTGTGATAGCGAATGTAATTATTCGCCATGACAACACTCGCCAAATACAGATGTTCAAGTAATAGCTATTTCCTATAGACTTCACATTAAGGTAATTAGACCAAGCGCAATCATTAGCACAGTAATGCCTGTCACGCAATACTACCATAGCCCCTCGATGCATCGGTCGTTTAGACACTTGTGATGGTAAACTTGGTAAGGTTCAACTCAGATGTCTGAGTGGTGTTAGACAAGGAGGACCAGCGCCGAAACTGTCCTTCCAGGGTTAAAGCTCTACTGCATACTCTGTATGTACAGTAGATAACGCCATGTTTGTTTGTTTGTTGTTTAACGTCGCACTCAGCAATATTCCAGCTATATGACGGCCGTCTGTACATAATCGAGTCTCCACGCAATCGGGATACGATGACATGTATCAACCAAGTCAGCGAGCCTGACCAGCCGATCCCGTTAGTCGCCTCTTACGACAAGCATTGTCGCTTTTTACGGCAAGCACGGGTTGCTGAAGACCTATTCTAGCCGGGATCTTCAAGGGTCAGATAACGCTATGTATAATGTTGAGGTTGGTTTACTTCAAGAGGCTGCAATATCTCACCTTAAACCCTTCAATTATTTTTATTGGTCTTGTCTTGATTTCAGTTAACTATGGGATCCTAGAAGGGACATTGTCGCGTTGTCGCATTGTCGTTCTCCCAAAAACGAGGACAGGGTGTCAACATTAATCAAAGCGCAACAATGTTCCTTCAAGGATTCCATAGTTAATTTCCATTGAGAAATGCCATTGTCTGATTGGATGAATCATCTTTATTTTCATGCTCGGGACAATGTTGTTTAAATGTTTTATATTTTGTGTGATACAATGATGGCTCTAATTCCTGACAGGTAATCTGCTAAGGTAATAAAACACCGGATATCCTATATCTCCAAACAAATCTGTCGTGTGTTGTAATCCGTCCTTCAACACTGGTCGAACGCTCCATGCAACCGCAAACTACATTTAATACTAAATAGTCGACGTAATCTGGGCGGTGATAAACGCCAATCTCGAAACAAAAGGAATAAGCATCACAATGACTGGATATCTGTTACGTTCATGTCTTTGCATTGGCCGAAATCTATTTGGGAATAAACAGTATCAATATTTAAGCCAGTTTCCAATAATCAGCCCCCTCGCATGTGTCGCCAGGGGCTGCGGTTGTATTTTCCTGTGCGTGCAGGTCATGTTGTCACCATCAGAGGAAATCCTTCCGACCCATTGTGCAGGGAAGGACATACACTCGTTGAAACATCTGGTGAAATGAATTTTTATAATACTTCTAAATGTACTGAAGAAATAAATTCTAAAAACATCTCAATGTCGTATATGACGCGGTGAATGTATGCGCCCATGCGTCATCGTCTTGTTTCGTATACTTTCATAACCGAAGAAATGACCTTGGTAATATAGACTTGGATCCATTATCGGTCATCCAGTGTATTATATCTCCATTCTATTAGGATAAATACCCAGGACCCATCCGCACCAGCAAGGTTAAACATATACACATTGAGAACGAAATAGAATGTAGATTGACTAGGTTACCGATACTAATTTAAACTTATGATGTTACCAGGGTTACCTGTACCTAGATATGTATCTTCACTTTCAGGACCCGTGAAGATCCGGGGTAGAATAGGTCTTCAGCAACCCATGCTTGCCGTAAAAGGCGACTATGATTGTCGTAAGAGGTGACTAACGGGATCAGGTGGTCAGGCTCGCTGACTTGGTTGATGCATGTCATCGTATCCCAATTGCGTGGATCGATGCTCATGATATCAATCACTGGATTGTCTGGTCCAGACTCGATTATTTACAGACGGCCGTCATATAGCTGGACTATTGCTGAGTGCGGCGTTAAACAACCAACCAACCAACCAACCACTTTCAGGAAGGACGTAGGTGGTTCTGTCGCCCACGCAATTCTCTGTGCAGCGTCCCGTAGGCATGTCAGAAACCTATTATCGTGAGTTCGAACCCCGATTCGTCCTGATTGTCAGCATCATGCTGTGCACGTGGGTTTGACCACAATTATAAACGTTTGACATCTGCATCAGTTCGGACGTTCTTCCCATATAACTCGACTCGTCGTGAATGTACTCTTAAAAAAAGTAGGCGATACGAGTGTTGGTCAAAATAATCAAAGCCTAACAAACAAAACCAACGATTGTGAAAGTGTTTTTAAGTTTATTTTTCAACATAAACTTCTTTTCAATACACTTCTCATATAGATTGTGAAGCCTTTCAATTCCAGTCACGAAGAAGTTTCCTGAAGCCACCTTAAATAACTCATTCACGGCAACTTTGTTTTGATCGTTGTCGTTACAGCGCTTTCCACAAAGGTGTTCTTTCAGTTAAGGAAACAGGTGGAAATCACTTGATGCCAGGTCTGGCGAATATGGAGGGTGAGAAAGCTCTTCGAACCCACACTGTCGCACAACAGCCTTTGCAAGTCGAGAGTTGTGAGAAGAGGGATTGTCATGAAGGAGTTGAACTCTAGCAGTAAGTATTCCTCACCGCTTTTCTTTGATAGAATCTATCAGGGGAATCGGCAAATCAGCATAGTTGGCCCCGGTAATCGTCTTTTGACTTTCTAAGTAATCAACAAAGATCACACCCTTTGCATCCCAGAAAACAGTGGCCATGACTTTCTTCACTGATCTTGAAGACTTGAATTTCTTTGGTGCCGGAGAAGTGGAATGGTGCCATACCATGTATTGACGTTTTGACTCGGGATCATAGTGGTAGATCCATGTTTCATCACCCGTTACTAATCTCTTTTTGAATTTTAAGAAATCCCCCTTAATTAGCTATAAATTTTCTCTGGCATTGTCAGTTTCTTTAGATCTTTTCCTTAAGATGAGAATTTAGAAGCTTTGTCACCAAAACGAGCGTATATCTTATTCATCTGTAAATGTTCATGATTAATAGTTTCATGGGATCAATGGCTTAGATCTGTGTCTTCTTCAATTTCAGCAATGGTAATACGCCTATCTGCCTAGCTGCCAGCATACGTTATTCTGTCTCCTTGCTTGAATCTTTATTGATGGAAGCTGAGGGACGTCCAGACCTAGGGTCATCATCAAGGCTTCTTCTCGCAGCCTTAAACATAGCTGCCCATCGGTTAACAGCGGGATATCTTGGGCACTTATCCCCATACACTTGTGACATGCGGTCATGAATTTCTTGGGAAGTACTTTTCTCTAAAGTTCAAAACTTGATGACTGCTCGGTACTCGTTCTTTTCCATTTCTGTGTCCATTTGAACCACTATCACGTTCAACTAATGTACAAACGGCCTCAACACACCAAATACACTTGCAATGAACAATGTACTGCATTGACAAGTTCATTTATTGTGTCCCATAGTTGAAAGTTAGTCAGGCCTAGAACGTTTTGACCAGCCCTCGTATTCGCAAATGACTTAAATTTCCAAAATTCTAAGAAGATCTTAGTGTCTATTAATGTTGTATGATAATAATGAACGAATTGGGAACAGTACAACCGGTAGTGAAATATGACAGTAGTTATGACCGCCAATGATATTGTAGGACGACAGGGGTAAGATGGGAATTTTCAAAGTTGGTGTTTTTGGATCAGTAGTGTGTAATACAGCCACGACTGTCAAACATTCATTCACTCGAAGAGGCATACTGCATATCAGTCTCCCAATGGCGATTTGAGGGAGTCTGTCCTACTCATCTTGCAGCGCCTGGCCAAGTTCAGCCACCGTGGTCGGCGGCCTGTCATGTCCCTGTCGTGTTCAATGGGGAAAAGGTCTGATCTCATTGCTGATCATGGTATTCTATAGGATCCAATAATTTTTTAAGAGTATAATTCATTTTTTAAATTCAAATCGGCGTTAAGTCAAACTCACTCACTCTCCGATATTCATATCAACGCAATCCAGTCCCATCCACACACGCAACTGTACTGTCACTTAGTATTTTCTTCTTAACTTAAGGCGTGTGCCCATGCACACAAAGGGTTAACCTAAATAAGTTCGCAGACTTATGTATCTGAACCTCTTTGAGTAACTCAAGATGTTGAATGCGTCTATTATATGCCACCTTGGTTTTCAATCAAGAATGGGCATTGAATCATTGAAGGCGGCGAGGAGAGACAATTCAGTTTAGTGAGTCACGTGACATGTCAAGTCACGGACACTCTCGGGACCAGTCTCGCCACGAGAGTCAGGGACGGAGCTTTCGTCAACGTCGCCGACGTCGTACTTCGGGGTGAGAGTTGATTAATAACTTGTTGATAAGATGACATGACACTAGAACAGATCAGCGGTGATTTGGAAGGGGAAACGTGTGTCTCGGCAGCTTTAGAGCAAGTCTCGCAAATACACAAATATATCTGTTCAACTGGTCATCTTTGATACGTTCCGAAAACCTTTTACAAATGTAACAGCAGTTTGTGCATTTTGAGACCCCCACGCACACCCCAACCCCCACCACATCCCTTATTGGCAGATATTTGAATGTTTCTTGGTCATTGACACTTCCGGGTATGTCATGGATAAGTATAAATTTTGCATGTTTCCTAACCACGAACACTTCTGGGTATCTCATGTGAAGTTTTTTGAAAGGCTGGTCACTGATACTTCCGGATATCTTATCGGAAGGTATTCGGATGGTGTCTGACCACTCACGCTTCCGAGTTCCTTATGTGAGGGGACGTTTCCCAGCCACTGACACTTCCGGAGATCTTATGACCGCCTCCGTGGTCTAGAGGTAGAGTGTCTGCCCGGAGAGCGGAAGGTCCGGGGTACGAACCCCGGCCGCGTCATACCAAAAGACGTAAAAAGATTGTACTTGTTACCCTGTCTGGCGCTCGGTATTAGGACGCTCAAACAAGGACTGGTCGGCTCGGGAGTCAGTATACTGTGTCTGAGTTGAGTATTCATGTTAAACTACGCCCTGGTATCTGTGACAAATGGCCTGAACAATTTTTTACCATTAATTTGACAGATTGCCTGACATTCTTCACTTGAATTAGACCTAGATCTAAAACTACAAACAATCTTCCCGTTGCAAAGGCCATCACAAACAAACATGACACGACTATATGAACTGAGGTATTCGTAATTAATTTCAGGCAATCTGCAATATTAATTTTTGAAATTGTCATGCAATGTGTACAACGCCTGAGGTCAGTGACACAGACAGCGTAAGCCTCACCAGATGCAGCCGCTTAGACGGTCCGATAACAATCAAGTCCTGATTTTCAATTCACACAGTGATGTTTTATTGAAATCATATTTGTTGAACTATTATATACATATTATATGAACTATCATGAACTTGTCTTACGAAATTGTGTAACGATCACCTGGGGCATACTAGCACATCCTGCACTATCCGGACGGTCTGTATCAGAGGTAATCCCTACAAGGAGACGCCCTACTTCAGGCAATGTTTCCGTGGCAACGGATGACGTCAAAGCACTTCCGACAATCCAACAAGAATGTTTGTCTCATGTTGAGGAAATATACAAGATGCAAACCCAGACGAATCGTGATTACAACTTCCACTCAGTAAGGAGATTCTCACATAAAGAGGTTATGTGTACGAGGAGTAGGTCGCATAAAGCTAATTCATTATGCAACAGGGGCACGGGTGGCCCACTCGTCTAAGGCGCCGCGATTCGCTGTGCAGAGTTGCGTCTCTTGGGCACGCCAGAAACCTATGATTGTGAGTTCGAATCCCGGTTCGCCCCAATTATGTTTCTAGGTTTGTCAGCACCATACCCGTACTCCTGGGTTTCACCGAAGTGGTAATCGTCTGAGACCTGCTTCACTTCGGGCTTTCCTCCCACATTAAGCTGACACGCCGTGATATAACTGGAATACTGTTAAAAGCGGCGTAAAACCCAACTC